CTTCTTTTTCTCTCCTGAGCTTGATAGACTTGATGCTAGATTCTACCTGAGAGGCTAATCAAGAAGAAAGGCTAAGGACAGTCAGAAAAGAAAAAGAATGAGGTGGATTTGCCTTATCAGATAAGCAAGAACATTATAAAACACAGCCGTAAAACTGGCACATCGCCAGCACTCAGTAAATATTTTTTTGGCATTTTTTTAAATACTTGTTTTGGAATAAAGTTACCATCGTTACACTGTAAAAATAATAGTAATGACAAAAAGCACTCTTCATGGCACCCTTGCTGAATGCCAGGCTCTATGTGGAGAGCTTTATCACACATGAGTTATCTCACTTGGACCCCTAACAGTGTTTTTCACACCCAACTACAATTCATTTGTGGATCACACCTATAATCCCAGGACTTTGGGAGGCAGAGGGGGAAGCATCACTTGAGCCCAGGAGTTTCAGACCAGTCTGGGCAACATAGGGAGACTCTGTCTCCACAAATAATTTTAAAAATTAGCCAAGTGTGGTGGTGTGCACCTATAGACCCAGCTACTCAGGAGCCTAAGGCAGAAGGATCACTTGAGCCTGCCAGGAAGTTTAGGCTGCAGTGAGCCATGATTGTGCCACCGTACTCCAGCCTGGGCAATAGAATGAGACACTGTCTAAAAAAAAAAAAAAAAAAAAAAAAAAAAGCATAGCTGTGACTGTCCTAAGAAACTAACTTTGACTTTGGGCAAGTCAACTATGTGCTATGATCTAAACGTTTGTGTTCCCCTAAAATTCAAATATTGAAACTTAACCCCTCACTGAGATGGAATTAAGAGGTAGGACCTTTGGGAGGTGATTAGGTCATGAGGTCCTTGTGAATAGGATTAGTACCCTTATAAAACAGGCCCAGTGGAGTCTGTTTGCTCCTTTTACCAAGTGAGGACACAGCAAGAACCTACCGTGGCTCTCACCAGACAGCCTGTCTGCTGGCAACTTGATCTCGGATATCTCAAACTTCAGAGCTATAAGAAATAAATGCTGCTTGTTTATCAGTCACATAGTTTATGGTATTTTTTTTATAGCAGTCCAAACAGACCACGAAACTATGTCTCCCAATCTGTAAAATGCCATAACAGTAATAGTCTCTACCTGCCGAGATAGGTGCAAAGATTAGATTGTGTACCTGGAGCTAGGACCGGAGAGTCTGGCACAGAGCCAAGTCTCAATCAAGTGGTACCATCATGCAACAGAGTCACTTCCGCATTTGAAATGAGTATTACATTGAGAGCCATAAGACAATAAAAAGAAACTCATCACATCTTGTCCTGAATCAAGCACTCGTATTCCTTGCAAGGCAGACTGATTACCGCAAAGGCCCCTCGCTGAGAAACTCAGTCAAATTCAGTACTCCACCACTGGCAGTCCTGACTTTCCAATCACTCCGGGACTTGTTTTTCTGCTGGTTGCTTTCCCTTTGCCTGAAGCTCCACTACTCTAAATATCAAACATTTCCTTCAAAAAAAATATCAGACATTTCCTTCAGTCCTCCTCACAACCGACTGAAACTTCTCCAGTGCCAATAAAGTTTCTAAGAGATTTTTTTTTAATTACCTAAACAAGCACTGCTGGGTTAATAATTAATTCTAAGAATGAATTATAAAACAATGCATGAGAAAAGTAAAAATTCAAACAGTAAAAAAAATGCCTTTCATCTTCGCCTAATGGATTCATTATCAGTCCTCCTCTTTAGAGGTATCAGTGTTAGGTTTCTTATAAATTGTTATATACAGATGAATCTGTGTGTGTGTGTACATTTGTTAACACACACACACACACAACCTTACTCCACTGCGGACACCTTGCTTTTCTGAATCCTCTACCTCGGAACTCTTTTAAGATCAACACCCTCGGGCCGGGTGCGGTGGCTCAAGCCTGTAATCCCAGCACTTTGGGAGGCCGAGGCGGGTGGATCACGAGGTCAAAAGATCAAGACCATCTTGGTCAACATGGTGAAACCCCATCTCTACTAAAAATACAAAAAATTAGCTGGGCATGGTGGCACGTGCCTATAATCCCAGCTACTCAGGAGGCTGAGGCAGAAGAATTGCCTGAACCCAGGAGGCGGAGGTTGCGGTGAGCCGAGAAGACGCCATTGCACTCCAGCCTGGGTAACAAGAGCGAAACTCCGTCTCAAAAAAAAAAAAAAAAAAAAAAAATCAACACCCTCTTTCTAAGAGCTGCGTAACTTCCCACCAAATGATTTAGGCCATAACTTAAATTTCCCATTTTTGTATATTCAGATCATTTATGCTTTTTTGTTATAAATGATGATGCAAAAAATCATCATCTTTACACATATATCTTTGTAGGCAGAAATATACTCCATATAATACAAATTAGAAATTGGATAAACAAGAAATGGTCAGATGAAAGAGTTTATAGACTTCCAGTTTTTTTAAGGGAAGCATTTTCTGCTGATGTATAAAGATTTCTAATCTTGACAGCTACTGTCGAATTTCCCAATATGAAATTTTCAGATGTTTTGATCCTTTATGCTTCCATGACCAATGCAGAGGTGTCTGTTTCATCACTCCTGCACCAGCAATTGATGCTCAGTTCATATTTATCAATCTCACTGGTTAAAAAAATGGCATTTTATCACCATTATAAAATGCATGCCCTTCCTTATAAATTAGGCTAAGTATATTCAGTTGCCCATTTATATATCTCTTTCTACTAACTGCCAATTTCTGAATCATCCACTCTCTTGGAAAGTACTGTTGGGAAGGTTATCAAGTAGCCTTGTCTTCAAGACCAAGAACACCATATCTTATTCTCATCATCCTGGCAATATATGGCACCAACAACCACCAACTCCTTCAGGATTCTCTTCTCCCTTCCCTGCCATGACCATTTGCTGTGATGGTTCTCCTCCACGGACTGCAGGCCAATCTTCTCCCTAAATCCTAAAGACGGGCATAACCCAATGTCCAATCCCTGCCTCCCTTTTCTTCTCACCTAACATCCTTAAGTTGTGGTTTATGTGCAAAAGATTTCCAAATGTTGATCCTCAAATCACCTGAGACCTAAACCCACGTTTTCAACTTTCTACTGAACACCTCTAGCAGAGGGATGGATGTCCTTCCCATACTTCAGATAATGAACAAGGTCAACAGGCATGAAGCACCTAATCTGTGCTTATATTTGACACTTACTGCATCTCACGTAATTCTCCACATCCAAGAGAGAATACACCAACTTCACTGTCCACCTTCCTCAAATCTGGTTCACCTCCTTGAGCATCAAACCTCAGTTAACCACTCTACACTAGCATCCTTCCCCCTTCTTCTCATCCAGATCCTGCCAATTCTGCCAGTGAATGGTCTTCGTATATCTATCCTGCCTTCCCATTTCTACCTCTGGCTCAGACTGCTGATCACTTGCCTCTTACATCAATCTTGACACTGCCAGAGTACTCTACTGGGAATATAAATAACATCACGTGAATCTGCCTCCTCCACTTACCTGGGCTCCAGGCCTACACTGGCAAGACACTGAACTCACAGGTCCTGTCCCAGCAGGTCCAATATTTAAGAAGACTCATGCCAAAACATAATCCCTTTCTCAACATATCACTAGCTCACCAGGCCTCATTCCCCTTGTATCCCAGACAGCACCCAGCACAATTCTACGTGGTTGGTAGGTACTTTATAAATATTTTCTAAAGTTACACAGTATAATTTTCCTGCATGTGCTCATATTATTCCAAAGAAGAAAAAGAACTTCTATACACATGAAAATCCATAATAAAGAAAAATATTTCTAAAGTTTATCTTCTATGATTGAATGTACACAGAAACATAAATATTCCCGTAGAGCAAAAAAGTCAAACCCTTACTCTAAACAGCTTTAGAAATAACTCAAAAGTCACAAAAAAGCAGATTTTAGAAACATTGGGTTTTAGTGATTACAAACCAAAATAATGATTCCCTACTTGCCAAGAGAAAAAAACAGATTCAGATGAGTCAAATAAGGTTCTGGAAATCTTCTGATTTTATGGTCTTCAGGTGGCCCCAGTCAGGCATCCGAACTACCAAATATTAACCTCCACAAGCCTACATGACAAAAGCAAAAAGGCCATGTCATACCACGGTAAGTCAAATATCCACCACTTGGTCGAGAAGTCAATAAAACCAAGTGGCTCTGTGTGAACTGTGCCCATCAACTCCGAGGACACATCTCATTTAGGTCTACTCTATTCTTTAAGGTCAAACCCATCTAAAACGTACCTTTTCCAAAGAATCTTTCTAAACCGATTAAAAAGAGGTCACTGAAAAGGAAGCACAGACTATTTGTCAGTGAATGAAGAGAAGGATTCTGAAAAGCATTACTTTGTAGAAAGATATAACAAGATTAAATTATGTGTGTAACACCCTTCCTCTCTCAACATCAGCATATTTCCAAACACGTGTAAAAAGCGTCCTTGACTTTTTCCTAGAGTCAGGACTTTGTCAAAGTTTTCCCATCCACTCTCTAACATGAAGTTAGGAACTGCGATGTGATCGATTAGACATTCAGGGAATCAAAATTGTCTCCAACTAAAAGATTAAAAAGTAGCATGGTTAGTTATTAAGAGAACTTCTGAGCTGGTAGAAATTACGGGTTCGCCTGACAGCTCGTGATGCCCCCTCAGCACTCTCACCTTCCCCTCAACTATATCACATCTTCACGGAAGTGTTACCTTGATGCTTTTTTAAAAGGGGGACAAGAAAATCTCAAGTAAATAGGAGGGAGAGAGTTTACAGAATCTTCTCCTTTATCACCAGGGTCCCCTCCAGGGCAAGGTGAACGGGACAGCAGTGCACGAAGTCCTCCAGGCCCCCAGAGGCCACAGCCCGGGCCCGGTGGGCCAGGGAACAGCCAGTGACACTTTTAAGTCCAGGCTGGCTTTGGGGGAGCTGGAAACAGGCTCCCTCTGGGTGGGAGCGCGACAAGGGGGCGGGGCGCGGGCGGCCCCACTCACCTGCGATTCAGGGGCCGGACCCTCACGGCCACCTTGACCGATGCCATTGCTCATCCCGACCTAGCCCGCGCGGGGTCCCACCAGCCCAGAACTCCGCGGCCACCGGCGACTCGGGCGACTCGTCGCGGCTCCCGCCCACTTCCCTCTCGCCTCCGCCCCTCTGCCTCGGGCCGGACCTGGAGTTCCGCGGCGGCCCCACCTGCCAGGCCACTGAGCATGCCCAGAGCGGCTCCGGCCCGCGTGATCCGGGCGCCGCGGTTTGGCGGCGGCCGGGCGGCGCAGAGGGGCGGGGCCGCAAGGCCTGGGTGCCGCCTCCGTGGTCGCCAAGTCTGGAAAGGCCACGTTGTGGACCGTGACGCAAAGGTTATGAAGGGCGACCAGGAGCGGATGATTTCAGGAAAACTAGCACTCACTCTCATAGTCTGTAAAACTGGAGAGAAGAGGGTTCCAGCAATTTAAAGCCAGAGGCATGGATCACAATCCTGGGTTCAAATGACCAAGGCCAGCTTTTCAGCCCTTAACAAGGACCTGGCTTCACCCAGACAAGCATGAGTTAACTCATCCATTTTACACACGAACAAACTGAGGCTCGGCTCAGAGACGGTCACAGCTTGTTAGAGGCGACCTCCGCTAGGGCCATCTCTGCTACCGTAAGGAGATCAAGCGTATGTTTTGGACCCCTTAACTCAGGATATCGAGAAATGAAAATTAATAGGGTATTGGATGTTGTAAATGTGTGCGGGAATGTCGTTATATTGGCCGGAATCAAATCTTATTTGGAATTGTTTTGCACTTTTGTTATACTTTAGTAATTTTTACTTTTATTCATAAGGGAGCTAAAGGCAAGAGCAACTGATATCTGAAGGCTTAGGGCCTCTGGTAGAAGTGAGCGCTACCTCCCCTCCTGTGTAGAATGCAAATCCATTCATTCAGTGAATCAGGCATCCATGAATTCGTTTACATACACCCAGAAGCCCATCGGGAGCAGAACCTGCAGGAAGCCAAGCTATATTTGGGGGACTCGAATGGAGGCGGAGCTCCTCTTTTTAAAGCCTAGCTCCAAAACTAGCCTTGTCAGCGCTCCATTCTGAATTACTGGGCGCCTCTGAAGCTTCTTGCCTCATCTGCAAATCAGGAAAAACGGCATGGAGTTGGTGAATGTATTAAGTGAGATGATGTCTGCAAACACGCAACCCGCTTATACAAATAATTATCTTCATCACCTTCCCTGGACTCCTAGGGCCAGCACGGAATCATAGCACCCCTTTGTTTCTAGAGCATGGAAATCACTAGGTTTTCCCTCTGTCTGGAGCAGATCTGGGTGCGAATTTGACCAACGGGTAGCAGGAAAACCCGGAGCAGGGCATTAAGGAGCCGGCGAGCGGACCAAGCATGCGCAGTAGCGGTGGGTTGGTTTGAGAAGCCGCCAGGGAGCCAGCGCGGCTCCCTAGCTGCCTGGGGTAGGGGCGGGGCCCGCCTTATATGGGAGCTGCGTGGGGACAAACTGCGCGGGCCCAAGGCGCGGCGCGGAGGCCGGGCGGAGAGACGGCCACCTGGGGGACACAGCGCGCGGACGCCGGGCCAGTTCTTAAGGACATCGGTATTCAGACTTTTCAGGAGTGCTAGCTTACTCATGACCGCGATTTTCTGTATCGGGGTTTTATTGGTAGGTGGTTTAGGAGGTTTTGCTCATTCCTACATTGGGTTAATGTAAATTCCAACAACCTACACGTTTGTAAGCCCCCAGTCTGTCCACGACTTTGCCGTCTAACACAAAACAGACCATCGCAACCCGGCAGACCCTTTAGACAACAAACAGCATGCTTGGAGCTTTTGAATAGCTCCAAACAAGGCTTCAGCATCCAGACGGGACGGAATGGGCACTTTATTTATCAGAAAGTATTTCTATTGGAGTGTTAAGGAAGTTTCTGAAAGGGAAGATTATTATAAGATGAGGCGTTTGCTCATCTTCTCAAACTTTAGTGTGCCTGCTCTAAAGGGCTTTGCAAACTTGAATGTTTATAGAAATCACCTGGCGGTCTTGTGAAACTGCAGCTTCCGATGGGCAGATCAGAAGGGAAGCCCGAGACGCGACATTTCCAGCACTCTCCGGGAGCGAAGCTGCTACCGCTGCCACCCTCTCTGCAAGGAGCCAGGGGATGGATGACCTCTAAGCAAACTGTGAGAGCTTTAAAATACTGATAGTGAAAAACAGTCACAGGAGCTCTAGGCCAGGCACGGTGGCTCACTCATGCCTGTAATCCCAGCACTTTGGGAGGCCAAGGAGGATGGATCGCCAGACCTGAGGAGTTCGAGACCAGCCTGGGTAACACGGTGAAACTCGGTCTCTACGAAAAAAAATAAATAAATAAATTAGCCAGGCATGGTAGCGTGTGCTTGTAGTCTCAGCTACTCAGGAAGCTGATATGGGAACAATCGCTTGCGCCTGCGAGATGGAGGTCGCAGTGTACTCCAATCTGGGTGACAGAGGGAGACCCCGTCTCAAAAAAAAAAAAAAAAAGGAGCACAAAATCCGGGGCCCAAAAAGTCAGTAATAGAATTCAGGAATCCATATCAGTCATGTGCTGATGCATAAAAATTATGACCGAAACTGTGGAAGCTTTAAAACCGGTTATTTCTCTCTATTCCATGGGTTGCTGGTGTCACCTGACCTATGTGGCTGGGGTCTCGGCTCATTGGGATGAGGAAATTCCTTGGGGTGAGGAAAAGTTGGTGCATTTTGCTTTTTCATCCTCAAAAAGTTTAGACCAGGTTCCAGGTTTCTTGTGGCGGCAAGCCACCTCTCCAGGAGAAGTGTGCAGAGCCTTTGTTGGACTCTCCTTTGCTGACCTTCCATTGACCAAAGGCGGTCACATGGCCACGCCCAGTCAATATGGGAGGGGCCTCCCACCAGGAGGCAGTGGGTACTCAGGGGAGCCACTAAATAACAAACCTAAGATCACATTTATTTTCTAATACTTTGATAGTTATAGTTCATATAATTGATTTTCCTTGTAATCCCATTTATTTTATTTTATGCATTTAAAATATTATCCTGAAAATGTTCTTTTCACCGAACAACCAAAAAAAGGTTTAAGAATCTATTGTTTTAAAATTCAGTTGGATGGATAAAAGACTTTTTTCTTTTTTTTGATATGGAGTTTTGCTCTTGTTGCCCAGGCTGGAGTGCAGTGGTGCAATCTCAGCTCACTGCAACCTCCACCTTCCGGTTTCAAGCTATTCTCCTGCCTCAGCCTCCCAAGTAGCTGGGATTACAGGCATGCACCACCATGCCCAGCTAATTTTTGTATTTTTAGTACAGACAGGGTTTCACCATGTTGGCCAGGCTGGTCTTGAACTCCTCACCTCGTAATCCACCCTCCTTGGCCTTCCAGAGTGCTGGGATTACAAGCGTGAACCACCGCGCCGGGCCAACATTTTTATTTTCTAAGAAGGCTGAATTGTGATGGGAAGGAGAAGAGAAAATTCGGAGACCTGGATTAAAACCCAAATGGTCTCAAATAGAGTATAACCCTGTCACCAAGATGCATCTGTGCATGACTGCGGGGGCGGGGGGTGTGGTTGTTTGGTTTGTTTTGATGTGGTTTATTTTGGTTTTCATTTGTTGTTGAAGTTTTTTTCTGATTCTCTTTCTAAAAACTTTTTTTTAAATCTTTTTAAAATCCCTTTTTAATAAACTTTTTTAATTGCTGAAAACTTGAGTGATTTAAACTCTCTGAGTCTTAGCTTCTTCATTTTGGAGTGAAATAGCACTGTAATGGAATGTTCACTCCATCTCAAAATATTTGAATCATCAGGGAATACTGTTATCAGAAGAAAAATACTGTATTCCCATGAGCTATGCTTTTGCTTTATACCTTGACTTTTAAAAAATCCTGACGAACATCAGACTGCCACACTTAAATTGGGACAACTGACACCTCATAAACCCATCTGTTTTCCTGTACTGACCATAAGCATTATGTCACATGGTACACTTACTATCTCCTGCAGGAGTGCCTTACACCAAGGGACTTACATTAAATTTAAGAACTAAGTGGTGAGACAATGAGAAAAACAAATGTTTTCCTGGTTTTCAAATAAATGTATAATAAATAATAGTACCGGAGACAGAAATCATAGATATCAAGTTCAAACCCAACACCGTTTTTTTTTGAGACAGAGCCTTGCGCTGTTGCCCAGGCTGCAGTGCAGTGGTGCAGTCTCAGCTCATTGCAACCTCCAACTCCCAGGTTCAAGCGACTCCGCCTCAGCCTCCTGAACTACTGAGATTACAGGCACCTAATTTTTGTATTTTTAGTAGAGATGGGGTTTTGCCATGTTTGCCAGGCTGGTCTCAAACTCCCGGCCTCAAGTGATTCGCCCCCTTCAGCCTCCCAAAGTGCTGGGATTACAGGCGTGAGCCACCGTGCCCAGCCTACCATTTTCATTTTCTAAATCACAAAATTTGAAGTATATTTAGAATCATCTAAAATACTAAACATTAAAAGCAGGGATAATTTGAAAAGGTATACTTTGGGGCCAGAGAGAAAACCTGAGCTAATCACAAAAATGATGCTTAGTAATTTTAGTAAAGCTTTAGTTAGGTAGCCATGAATACCAGCTTTCTTTTACAGCAAAAGTGAATAAAAAAATCACAGCAGATTCAATTTAATAGAAGCTATGACCCTAAATCATAGTCATTTTATATACTAAAATGAAAAAGATTGTTTTCAATTGCATATAACTGTATGTGACTATATATATACATATATATAAAACTATATATTTGGTCACAAATAGTGCATAACGAGTAGACTTTGTAGAGTGTGTGGCCTCATTTTAACTTCTGAAGTGTGAGAAACTATATTTATTTGAAGGGATAGGGAAAGTTTCATGGATGAATTCGTTTTGGAGATCAGTCTTGCAGGAGGGACAGAATTTGAATCCCAAAATGGTGAGGAGGTGACCTCTAAAGCAGAGGAACTTCCTTGAACAGGCGTTTGGTGTTGGAAAAGCAAGTCCTGCTTCTGGAATTGTGAGAAAGCCTCTTTACCTGAAGCACAGTGTGAAGCTTAAAAGTAGTCGTAAATGCTTCCCTTTCCTGGACTCATACCTTGCAGTGTCATTTCGCAGCTCCCCTCAATGGGAAGTGGAATCTCTTTCTCCACCTCTTCAATATGGCTGACCCCGGAACTTGCCTTGGCACACAGAATG